AGGGCTCGTCCCCCATGCCCTCCCAAAGCCGGCAGCCTCCTCCCCAGTAGCCGATGTTGCACACGATGATGCCCTCCAGACTGGGCAGGTTCACTTTCTCCCCGTCCAGCTCCAGCTGCCGACAAACACACAGGAGGCCCAATTCATCACAGCTCTGTTATGCTTACAGCAAGCAACGAACATGCCTCATTCACGCTTATGTCCTTCAATGTTTTTATAGACCAGTTTTACAGCATGTAACAATCACAACTCAGCAACATTTAGAGCAAGCAAAAAACTCAGCTCAGTCATGTTCATGTCTTGTAATGTTCATGTCGACCAAATTTAGAGCAACACATCCCCTTCGGGGCACCGCACTTACATAGAAGCTCTCAGAAATGCACAGAGAAGGGCAACAAGACTGGTTCCTGGTATCAAGTATGAAGAGACACTTAACTCAATTAAGGGAGACTGCAGAGATTAACTGAGTTTTTTATTCAAATAAGGAAGAAAGGGGAGATCAGAGGCAAGGATACATTAAGATAAGATCTGTCAGCAGAACAAAGTAGAAAGTTGCTCAAGACAATTTAACACCTACTTAACAGCTAATTGGAACTTATAGTGGAAGCAGAGACCCTTGGAATGCTCAAAACCAGGCTTGATGGACTACTGGATACTCACTATGGACACAATGAGAAGCTAAGATGAACTGAATAGCCTGGTCACTTCATTAAACTAAACAATAAGTGATAACTTTCATTCATGAAGATCTGAGGTCTCAGTAATCCACATACCTTGCAACTCCACAGTGAGCCACTTCAGTGCTTCCACAAGAAAGATCAAATCAAGCAGCGCATGGTGGTGTTTCATATTTGACTGAACCGTATTATGTTGGTCAGTTGTGTAGAACACTTTTGGAACTTTATTTAAGGCAATACAATGGGCACAATACCTCAATCCTCTTGTCCAGATCTTTACACTCTTGAACTAAGCAATCTTTGGTGCCGTAGAAGAAATACACAGCCTGTAAAAGAAAGAATATGTCAACTAACCAATGTAGTGTGAACACACCACACACTGCTCTGGGGAAACATTTGCGCTCTGAGAAAAACAGAGGAGAAATACATAATGTGGCACTGTATGAGACTGTATGGTGCAGTGGAAAAAAATAATACAATCAAATAAGATGGTACATCAGGTGGAATATGGTAGTACAGGAGGTGGAATATGATGGTACAGTGGGTGGAGGTGGAATATGATGGTACAGCAGGTGAAATATGATGGTACAGCAGGTGGAATATAAAGGCAGGCATCCCAGCATCCTCTTACCTTGTTAATGATGCGGCTAGAGAACAGAGAGGGCGTTTTCTCACGGTGGGCATGGAAATTCAGCGCCATCAGGGCGTCCGGGCCAACCGAAAAAATAGTTGTTCATGGACAGAACCTAAGAATCATAATGGACATGGACGTAAAAGTAAACCATGGGATAATGAAGATCAAGGCAAAAAAAAAAAAAGATTGCATCTGAATTTAAAATCAGGCAATGCCGATAAACTGCTGCATAATCACCTTTGGTTTACGAAAGTTGTAATATCCTTTCGAAGTGATCTGAACTCTCCACCTGAAAATCAAGATCATTTACTGTCAAGTAAATTATTTACTATCAAGAACAATTACTGTAGAGAACTGTAGAGAGCGACCACCACACAAGATGTGCCCACTATGGTTAAAGCACTTTGATCGCATTTACTGTTATTACATAAACAAAGATAAAAAGCAGTTCCCAATCAACTGCTCATGACCTACAGGTGGAACCTTCTCAGTACTGTCAAAAAGGCCAGACTCAAAAAGGTCAAACTGATGTATCAGAGGGGAGTGGACATGAACAAGCACTGACCTGTCCATCTTCACCACCTCAGCATCCAGGATGTTCCTCAGGACCTGTTCCACAGGGATCTCCCCGGCGTAGCCCGCACCCCAGCCCAGGGAGTTGGACAGATCGTTCCCCTGTTCCGAGGGGCAGGATGGTGACATGGGGGGCAAACTGCTCCTGGCCCTGGATGCAAACACACACACACACACACACACACACACACACACACACACACAAAACCACCTATTAGGAAGACTGGACGGATTCAGCAAAACTAGGAAGGAGCCCTGTCTCCACAAAGTGCAGACACTGGCATCACTCTTAATGGAAAGCTGCGTCTGCCTTTATTCAATTTCTCAACATGTCGGGAATATTTGATGAACATAGTAAGTTTGCTAGGCATTGTCAGTCTCCCCATCCAACATGCGTACACACACAGACACACAAAAAAAGAATCCACCATGAGCGATGAGACTCTAGAATCTAGAGACTATTTCACCCACAGTGCACCACACCAGGACAGGCTAGCAGACCTGAGGCTGCTGCTGTTTGGCACATCGCTCTCTTCCTTTTCTGTATGCCAGAACTGGGAGTGGCACATCCATCTTTGCATCTCACCACTGAACACCAGGCTTGCTCTAGCAGTGCCATTTCAGTTCCAACGAGCGGCTTCTGTCCTTGTGGTGTGGGCCCCCTCTCACCTCTCCCTCTCACCCTCTGCCAAACCCCTGTCCCGCTCCTGGCTCTCCCACCGCTGGGTACACCGCGTTCTAAGCAGCTTAAAAGCTTTAATTTTAGAAATAATCTCAACTGGCAGTTCCGCAGGCTTAAAAAGCGTTGCACGCACAGAGGTAGGAGGGCAGCCCAACCGTGCACGGTCACTGATCTCCCCTTCCCCAGAAACCACGCACTGACCTCAATCCCCTAAAACCCAGAAAATGTGGATCCATTTGCTTTTCAGCCACAGTCCACCGGTCCAGCATTCAAGGAGGAAGCACAAATGCAATTACAGGGTGTTTCCCTGCTGGCATGCAACAGAGACACTCAGCTGATCCCTGACTGGGAGCGGTGCATTGTGGGTGAAATGCTAAGGGGTCATTGCGGGTTCTGCCGAGGACACAAAAGCTTCGACGGGGACTGTTCTCGAGGAGGGCGGAAGAGAAGGGGTGCATTGTGGGTATGTGGCCCTTACCTTGAGCTTCATGGCGTCGATGGCGTCCAGCACCCAGCCCACCGTGCCGTCCCCCCCGCACACCAGGACTCTCACTCTGCCCGGGGGCAGCAGCGCGCACAGCTGCAGGGCTTTTGCCGGAGACAGCTGCGACAGGTCGAACACCTGGGCCGGACGAGAGACCAGAGACCACAGAAACCGCTCAGTGAGAATCTACGGACCAATCACAGTGGCCTATCAGTAACATCCTACAGAACAATGAGAGCAACACGTCAGTTTCTACTACTATTTCAAACTGGATCATTTTCTGTTACATATTTCTGTATTTTTACTGCCTTCATTGTTTTCGCTGCGATTTAAAATGAGACCATACAAAATGACGACCCCAGTCAAGAATACAATTTTGTCCTAGAAATCATCATCCGCGCTGCAAAGCAACCCTTGGCCTTACTGTCCCTTCAGATTCCTCTGAAATACACATGCTCACAAAATGTTCAACAACACCTTAACCCACACTCAATATCCATCCCTCTGTAACACTCATTCCCAATATCTATAACACCCATCCCTCTCAAATGCCCCAACTCATTCCTTCCCCCTTACAGACAGAGAGACAAAAAGAAAGGTCAACAGTTAGTCACAAAAACCGAAGGTAGCAGTTTTATGCAACAAAGTATTCGAAAAAGGAGATTCAGCTGAAACAAACTAGTGCAGAAAACAGAACCATGAACAGACAACGAGAGAGCAGATTGATGGTGCTCTGTAGTGAAACACACTCAGGGCCAGCTTCACCGTCGCACAGCGTGACTTTGTCAGGCCACAAAAGTGCAGGGCGGTGGCCTACTGTGCAGCAGGGCAGGACTCCGATAGTGTCGAAATAAAGAAAGAGGTGGAACACCACCCGGGGAGAGACTTCTTAGGTGACAGGACGGCAATGCCAGCTCAAAGGGTTATCTCAGGGTAAGAATCTGTCAATTTGGAGCGAAAGGTTAAAGGCCGCTGATCCCAGTTTCCACGGTGGCTGTGCCAGCATGAAGTCAGCCCCCCCCCACCCACCACTGTACTGTGTGGAGTGCCAGCCAGATTCACACCTCACGGTGACGGCGTTGCCCCCCTGAGCCAAAGGGAAGGGAGACTGCCAAGGACCGAGCTGGCCCCCGCACTCCAGAACAGACAAAAGCGGCCTTGGGCAGAGCGCCCCGCCGGCTCTCATGTCACGAGGCCTGTCCTGCTCCATCTGCAAGTCGCAGCCGGGCAGCGAACACACAAACAGCCCTTCTCAATCTCCACCAGCATGCTCCCAAGGGAAGAGAGCCTCTTTTTTTTTGGGGGGGGATTAGGGGATAGAGGGGTCACTGCAAGTTCCATCGAGGACAGAGAAACTTTGGCGGGGACCGTTTTCAAGGTCAGAAGAGAGGGGTGCATTGTGGGTAGCCCTTACTCTTATGGGGGACACTGACCTGAACGGGGTTGAGCAGGGTGCGGAACTCTCCCAGCAGGGCCTCTCCCATGTTGTTCCCGCTGCGCGTGTTAGCCAGGACCAGCACGGGCGACCAGCCGCTCCCGAGGGTGGCTGCCAGCTATGGGTGAACAAAAAAAAAAAAAAAAAAAAACACAGGAGAGTCACCATCACGCCAAGCCACACTGCTGCCCACTGCCCCGGCGGCAGCAGCAGGGGGGTCTCCAACCCTGCCTCCATCCCCGTGTCATGTGGAGGGAAAGGGATGCCTGCAGGCCCCTACCTCCCAATTCATTTCACATTTGAAAAAATTAACAAAAAATGGCTGCTCTGTTTCCCACCCCCAGGATAAAAAACAGGCATCTATGTCGATCCACTTTTACATTACATTATTGTCATTTAGCAAACACTCTTATCCAGGGCAACTTATATATGTTACAACTTTACATGTTACCCATTTATAGAGCTGGATATTTACTGAAGCAATTCTTGGTTAAGTACCTTGCCCAAGGGTACAGTAGCAGTGTCCTAGCGGGGAATCGAACCAGCAACCTTTTGGTTACGAGCCTGATCCTTACCACTATGCCACACTGCTGCCGCACAGTGGCTCGCGTTTCCTGCTGGCAAGGCCACGCTCTTACCTTGCTGTGCTCCTCCGTGTAGCCGCGGCGCAGCTTGTTGATGCGATGGAGGTAGTGCGGCGGGACGATGAGGCTCCGGAACTCTCCGAGGTCGCAGCGCCCCCCGTCCTCCAGCAGGGACTTGCAGTCGTCGTGCACGGTCGTCTGGCACCAGACGCACCTGCCGAGACAGAGCGGCCACACCTTTCTATGACTGTCCCAGAACCCTCAGGGCACCCGCGAAACCAGCAAACCGTGTAGCTCGGGTCGGGCAGCAAAAACGGGGGTGGGCGGCACGCTCAAACTAAACCAGCAGAGCCACATCCACCCGCGCTATGTCCAGGGGACAGGACATAAACTGCCCGGTCCTGAGGGACCATGTTACAGACACCAAGTGAAAGCAGCACTCCACCACCCTACAGCCTTCCCATCGTGGGGCAGTGTACAGCTACATTCACAATGTCAAGACACAGCGGGCTTTGAACTGTTGTTAAAATTCTGTGATCACACACAGTGATTCATATGATCTTGTATGGACAATAGCATAGACATCAGGCTCTTCAATGTGCAGTCTGGGTTGCCGTCCCTCATTTTCAAATCATCATGCCCAGAATAAGTGCATGAACCCTAGCAAAACAAAAATTCTTCCCCTTGATATTAAGTTAGGGTCCATTAGCTTGGAGACACACTGGGTCCCAGCTTACGACTCCGTGAAAGCAATGCGCCTTGATCCACCGTTTTCAATGTGACTAACTGTGTTATCAACTGATTACAACTCAAGCTAACATGCCATCTCTACGCCACCAAACCTCTGCCTAGCTGATTAGCTCTTTTAGGCCAACATCAAATAATGCAAATGCATGAATCCCTCTTGAATGTCAGCCCCACATGCCTGGGCGGGTTTTATCCACTGGATTGAGAGCAGACTAGCAGAAAGAGGGAGAGCAGAACAGCAGGCATGTGACTGAAAGGAAAATAAGGGGGACAAATTCTACAGCAGAGGTGGCAAACCTGAAAAGAAGTTGTAGCTAAAAATCTAGCTGTACCATTTTTAAAGGATTGCAATAAAACCATTCTCAAAATTTTAATATGAGCTCCATACACTATACCATGAACTGTCGATTTTTTGTCCATGATTTCATTTGTACCAGAAATCTGTTTTGCTTTAAAGATGACATGAAAGGGGAGGTCATGGATTGGCCATTTTGCCAAACATCCATTGCTAATCTGCTCTCTGTCAGTGCTGTTATAGTGTTTACACATTTCACAGGGCCCTAACAGGAACATTTTTAGCTGTACCATTAATCCAGCTCACAATGCATGTGATCTTTAGCCTTTGCAGTCACTTCAGGGGCCATACATGTAATCTTGCAGAGCCAAATGAGGCCGTAGGGCTGCAGGCTGGCTGTCCCTGCTTTAAGGTAATCCACTCTTAACAACTGGGTGTCAACAATTAAAAGGTCAAGCGTCTCACCTGACAAAAACTGACAGCTGCTAGACTCTTACAGAACAGGAAATAACAATATAGAGGTAGTTTTCGGATCACCTTAACGACGGAAGGTGTTTTACCTGAAGTCGCACAGCTTGGGTTGGGTGCCGCACTGCTGCTTGCATACCGCGCAGTAGCTACACAGGGGCACGTTTCCGCGGACCCAGCTATGGGCCAGCGTTCCGTCCGCCTGGGCCGGCGCCATGATCTCCTTGCACGGCAGGCTACGGTCGGCACGGCGCAGGCACTGCTCGTCCACGCAGACGCCGCAGCAGTCGCAGAAGGCTCCCTGGATGATGTGCTGGAAGCAGACGCAGCAGTAGGTGGGCTTGTTGAAGAGGTCGGTGTAGTGCCACCCGTGCTTGCTTCTGCGGAAGATGTCCTTTATGATCATCTTCCGTTTGGAGCGCTGAACGCTGCACCACAGCGTGATCAGCACAGGGACCATGACGGCCAGGACAGTCCATGCCAGGAGCCTCCACTCATCGCGGGAGTCGGCAGCGGGCTCGCTGTTCACTTCATCTGCTTCCATGGGCCTCGAGAACTGTTTCCGCCCGACAGACGATTCGGTGATGAGTAAACGACCAAATTCATAAAATAGTTTCAAGAACGTACACGCCCTCTCGGCGCTCCAAATGTTTATATGAGATGGAGGTGGCAATCACACCGTCTCCCTGATGCATGACTTGTTATATTAAGATCTAATACAGCTAGCTCTGCGACAAAAACCAAGATCCATTGAACGAATGCTGTATTCACGGCTGTCGTCGTCACAGAAAATCGCGGTTGTCAGGAGTGATCACAGCTAGCCAGCTAGCTTGCGACTACAACAGCGTTTCTGGTGCGGGAGCTTTCGTTTCGCTGCCAGTCATCTGTCCACCATTGCGCACATTGACTTCGCTGCAGATCGAACGCGAGATTTGCACGTTCTTAAAAGATCCCATAGCAACCCCATAAAATGTAGGTGGAAAAATCACCTTCGAATCAGGCAGACCCATCCCCAGACAACATATGCGAACCCTGGACAGACCATGGAGGACTGACAGGACGTTCACAACACATTTATGAATTGTTGCAATAGACCAATAGACGGAAACGGAAATCGTGACGTAACTGTTTGCGCTTCCCGCTGTGGCCGGGTGCAGCTTCAAGCCAAGTTTTACAGATGCTACACACATGACTTGCTAACTAGTTACTTTGTCAGATGCGAATACTTACTGAGATAACAAGTGAAAGACGAAGAGGCGCCGCTGTCTAGAAATGGGCGTTTAAAAATGAGTAACAGTTGTTAAATCTCGCCCAAACTAGGCGTTATATCTTAGTTGTTTGTTACCAACGAAAGGTGAATAACTGAGGGGAAAAAAACCAAAACTGTAATGCAGGTGTTTTGGTCAAAGTTTTACATAATTCCAGTTGTAAATAGGCTACGGTTACAAAGATTTCAAATGCTGATTACAGTTTAGCGAGTGAATTAACCTTGATAACATAATTTTAAGCTTGCGACAGGCAAACGAACAATCACAATAGCAAACATTATTCTTTGTAGGTTTTAACGTAAGTGATTTGTTTGGCTGCAATTTAGTACAACGTCACATAGTGTCACATGCTGCTTGCCTATTATTTCTCTAAAATTTCTTTAAAATCCCAGTTTCGGGAACTTTGGTAGTCGTCCACTCTAGAGTAAGAAAAGGGTGACATCTAGTGGTCATTTTACACATCACATTGTTATTTAAAGCATATTCCATATCACGATTACAGTGGAGATGCATGCCCAACTAAGGCACTTTATTTATTTATTCGATTATTACAGCAATTAAATAATATCGTGTAACACTGTTATCTAAATTCCTGAATCCCTGGCTGAAGTGCATGTTATCTGGCAAACAGCAGGGTAGAACATTTACCCAGATGTTTTAACAGCTGCGTGACAAATCTAAGTGGTTAGTGACGTAAGGACCCATACCTTCGAGTGGAGAGGGCGTCATTCTCTGGGCAGAGGCGAAAATTGATTCATGTTTGCCTGAGGCAGATATGAACATAATGTTCCCTTCGTTTCTGTAAAAAGCTTGGTTTACCGTTTATGTGACGGGTAATGCAGGCCCACGTAGAGGGCGCCAAAAAGAGCCCGATTAAGCTACTCCCTTTCTGCTGAGGTTATCTAGCATCAGCACCGAGCAAATCGGTGACAAATGAGAAAACAAGCATTTTTTTCATTTGTCGTGTTCAACCGATTTGCTGGAGTGCTGAATCTTAGGTTAGATCCAGAGATAAAATATGGACCTCACCTTTCATCAGCACCGTTGCAAAACGTTGCGCTTCCCCCGTGAATTGACGTGAGCTAATGTGAACGCACAAAGATAGGGTAAACGCTTCGAACACAGCCTTAGATGGCAAAGGCTGGAGCGCACTGTCACAGGCGCGTGACCATCCCGCGGGACGATGTAGTAATGTATATTCGTATGAACACGGGAAAATGAGTGACATGTATGTATTGAATGCAGAAGATATGATGCGAGACGCAATACATTTTAAATCAGCCTCGCGACGAACCTCTTGGCAAGTTGTCAGGGCAAGGTACACATTGTCCTTATTATGATGGATTAGGACTGGAACGAACACCCCGTCCAGCTCTCACAATCATTTCACCCATGTCACGCTTTCCTTTTTAACGAAAAACAGACATATTTATATGTTTGCTTTAATAACAAATGGTTTTACCTATATGGGGATTCCATTGTTTCTTGGAACTAGGTGAAACGTCTCGGGATTAAGCGATAAGGACAGCCAAGAGCTTTAAGAAAAGCATTGTGTTGTTCTCAAAATGCCTCTGCGTTAAGCCTCTAAAACATGCAATGCAAGGGAGACATATTCAAAACGTGCGCAAACTTCAGTGATATCCATTTTATTACCCTGATATTTTCGGCCAAATAAATAGCTCCACATATGCCATTTTACATGACGTAAATGTAATCAAATTCTGTAGCCCTGTGCACAGTGTTCTTCCCCAAAATGAACCGTCAGTGTGCCGTGTTTACTGCGCTGGTTCATTTTAAGAGCCGCTCACGAGTTGGCCTTTAGGTCACGTGCTCTCAGCGCCCAGATCTCTGGGGAGAGAACAGTGAATGGGCACTTTGTTACTTCTCTAAAAAGGCTCTTAATGGCATTGTGCATGTAGATGGAATTCTACTGCGAGTGGGGTTCCTTGGTTCTTGCGTTTTTTAAATCAGCCAGCAAGATAACATACAAAACACTGTAGCCCCACAATTTATCCATAATTGTGTCCTATGCCAGATGTATGCATCACATTTATACTTGAATTTACACAGCGTGTGTTTGGACTTACTTTCTCCTAAATGGGAATGTTTAAGTTGCCACCTCTAAGAGCAATTTGAACCTGCTAACGTTACAAAATATCCTTTTGTAAAGAGCGTAAAGAGGATATATGCATGTGAAAACAAATGTTTCCCCTTGTCCGAAAATGTTATC